TGTTTATTTATTGTTTTTATGTTCAGTCTCAACTGTTACGAAGTTGATGTGCAGTTAATAAGTGCAATAAATATTTATATTGGAAAAGAAAATCGTGATCTCAATTCTAAGCCAAAAAAATCGTGATTCTCATTTTATGCAAAATCGTGCAGCCCTACAAAATATGTTTTTTTTGGCCATCTTTCAAGTGGCCTTAAACTTTTGATCAGGACTGAGAGAAATATAATAAAAATGTAATGGATAATCCACGCAATCCAAATTATTTTCACAACAATGCCATAAAGTATCCAGATGATTAAAGTTGGCTTTAAGTTAATCAGACAGACAAAATGAAACAGCTCAGCTTTCCGCAGAATGACTGCAATCAAATAAACTATCAAATATCCATTTGGCCCTCATTAGACGACAAGTTGAGCTGAAGCGAGCGGCAGGCCTCAGCAAGCCGAGGGGGGGAGTGGAGCTGGCAAGCCAACTCAAATGAGGCAAAACTCGATCATGAGAACAAAAAGTGGTCCGCTCGTTTTTAAAATCATTCTTGGAGGGAAAAAAAACGACTCGAAGCCAAATGAGCTCCGACACAAACAGAAAAACAAAGCAAATGTAAGCAACGTTTTGGGAGCCGGACCAAAGATCACATTGTGAAACTGCCTTCTGCGACACCATCGGTGTGGCTGGGATCCAAAAACTGTTTTTTTCTTGACATGGGAAAACTAAATCCCAACTCGGATTCAGTTTCATATCTTCGTGATGTAACAAAACGCTTCCAGCTTTCATTCTTAAAGTCCTGTAGCAGCAGACATGCACAAACACTACCCCCAGACATCAAAACAGGCACTCGGAGCCAATGAAGCCAAGAGGTAAACGATACCAGACTATTAAAAAATGTTAAGCGACCAACATCATAAAAGAAAAACAGAGGGATGTGGAAAAAAGTCAGAGAAGACAGGGAGGACAATAGAAGTTGTTGGAATCACACACAGATTTAAGGAAAGGGAGTTCACAGACTGTGGAGAAATGTAAGCTGGGAGGAGGAGTGGAGGAGTGGAGGGATCGGGAAGGGTGGTAATTAGATGAAGAATGGATGAAGATGTGGAGGAGGAGGCGAGTCTGAGCCAAGCCGTTCCCTCATCTGACCACTGACTCAAGACCACAGCTGGACCTGATTACTCCTGATGCATGCGCGCACACGTACACATGCGTATCACGTTGCTTTCCTCTCTCCCACAGACACACACCTCCCCTGTTCTTTCACATCAACATCAAACCACACCGTTTCATTCTCCAACACGTATCCATATACTCAGGTTAAGCCGAAGCACACTCTCCTCGGAAATCAGCAGGATAGCGAATCCTGTTCGGAGTTCTCCCAGTCTATATTTAGGATTATTAAAAACACCCGCGTGGACTTAAAGAATCCTGTCTTTGCAGAGTCTTTGTTATCTAGATGTGGACGCCAACTGGAGCGTGT